CATGGGTGTTGTCAGAGGGAGTCTCACCAACAATTTCCCATCAAAGCTCAAGGGGGAGAGAGGTTCAACTTGCCAACTGAAACAAATTTAGGGATTTAAGATAAGGTACAGCAGCAAATAGCAGAATACTTTTCTGGAAGTCTGTACTTTCATGGACAAAACCAAGGGAGAAGTTTTGCCTGAGCAACCTGCTTAGGCCTTGGTTTCCTAAAGGACAAAATGGACTTTGGGAGGCCATTCACATTAAAATTATATAATGCTTACGAGTTCTAGCTCTTCTGTGGTCTGTTTGGCTTATGTGATAGTCTAACATGCCCTCAACCATTCCAGGTGACCCCTGTACTTCACTCTTTATAACGGTCTTCTCTTAAGACAAAGGCCCAGGGAACGGAAATTTCTAAAAGTACATCTGGCATTGTCTCCCTTAAAAGGAACCTCCTTCTGTCCATCCACTGGGACTTCCCAACAAGTAGTATCAGAATTGGAGAAGAATGAAAGTGGCACCACATGTGGGGGTGGGAATAGCAGCTGTCAGAGGGGGTTTGGAGCCTAAACAGGTGGGGATGGTGTGCACTGAGGGGGATGGAGGAAGCATGGGAGGTCAGAGGACTGGTGAGAGGAGAAGACATTCATGCTAGGGAGGAGGGAGCAGAGGTGATAGGAAGTTGGTTACTCATGAGGAAATTGATCAACTACATAAATATATTTAGGATAATGAAACCAGCTTGAACCCTGTGATGTTGTGAATATGAATGTGACTGTATGGTTTTTGAGAGAAAATAAATAGATGATAGGTTAATAGATAGATACATTTAGATACAGAAGGAAGTATGTATGTTACTAGACAAAGACTTTAAATTAAAAAAAAAAAAAGAAATGAGGTTCAAGATGACAGAATAGATGGTTCCCAGCATCACTCTCTCCCACAAATCAACCAATTTAAAACTATAAAAATGTAAAATCAGCCAAACTGGGGCTGCTGGAGCTCAGGGGAAAAGGAGGCGAGACCTACAAAGTTCATGAAGGTGGGAGAAACCATGAGGAGAGAAAGAAAAAACTGCTTGGAGCATTTTGGGCTGTGGCTGCTTTAATGCTGGAGCGGCTGAGTGCATGCAGCTGTGCCCTTCAGATGGAGTTACTTGGAGCCGGCAGGGAAGAAGAGGACTTTGGTGGCCCCTAGGACAGCAAGACCACTAATAGAGTTCCTGTGGACCTATGCAGGAGCAAGGAGCCAGAACAGCTGAAAAAGGGGAGCCATTCAGAGGCCAGTGAGTCATCGCAAGGGATTGACACAGGGCCTGTCCCATGGGAAGTGTTCAGAGCACCAGCAGTGGGGGAGACAGGCCCACTGGGAGAACACTGGGACACAGCAAGGACAGCCGATCCACTCCCCAATCAGCGCAGAACCACTCACAGGAGACTGGTCAGGAATATAGAATTGCATGGGGTGCAGTTTGATGAAAAAACTCAGGCCCAGATCACAGCTTCTACACAACCCAGGTGAACCAAGTATCTGGAGAGCCAGAAGTACCTATAAGGTCAACTATTAAACCCTGAGCTGCACAAAAAGCCTTCCCTAGGGAAACAGCAGCAAAGCAGCAATTTAGGTCAACCACATAGCTCAAGTACTAGTACCCACAGGAAGTTCTATTTTAGAAGTAAGCAAAGGACAAAACATTAGTTCCAGACCAGGTACACCATCAGCGCCTTGGGGCCCACCAGGGGACATGAGGCATGGAGCCTGAGAACAGACCCTCCCCCCATAATCAGGCCCACCACCAATGCCTTGGGGTCCTGCCCAGGGGCTTGGGGTATGGAGCTGAGGACTGGACCCCTGTCCCACAATGAGGTGCACCACGCCAGTGCTTCAGGGTCCACCCAGGGACCCAAGGCATGGAGAAAGGGACTGAACCCCCCCCTCCCACAGCCAGGCACACTGCACCAGCACCTCAGGGTACTCCTGGGGACCTGAGGCATGAAGTAGGGGATCAGATCCCCCTCCCACAACCAGGCACACCACGCCAGTGCCTCAGGGTCTGCCTGGGGACCCGAGGCATGGAGAAGGGGAACGGACCTCTCTCCCTCTCCCACAACCAGGCACACTGCGTCAGTGCCTCGGGGCCTGAGGTCTGGAGCTGGAGGCTGGACCCCCCTCCCACATCCAGGCACACCACACCAGCACCTTGGGACCCACACAAGGACCTGAGGGATGGAGCTGGAGGCTGGATCCCCCCAAAATCAGGTACACCACCAGTAGAAAGGAGCATGCCAAAAACATCACTTCTATGTAGGTGGTCCCCCACAGTCACCACAATAACCATCAGGCACAAAAGCAGCTAGATGCCACAACCACTATGCAGATGGTCTGCCAGCCACTGGAGTGCATTGACATAAGGAGAGTCACCAGCAGAGATAAAAAGGATGCCTCTCTGCACAAAGCACATTTCAGAGTGACAGAAGAAGCATCTGCTCTATGATAATATTGGGGGATCTGTTCACACCTCTGAGCATTGGACATATCATCTGCGCAACAAATCAACAGAGTAACCATTCCTTCAGAAGGAGAGAAGAAATCTAGGGTAATTAGAGGGGGATATAATTATCCTCTTCCATGAAACCCCCTCTAATCTTCCTGCTTCGGGATTAGGGGCAGGAAGGAAGGCTGTATTATTTGAATACAATCAAATACAGTATATTCTTTGAAAAATAGAAATGAAAGAAAAGTCTCCTTCCAGGGTTCAATTAAACATCTGTGGGGGTTTTTGTTTGTTTCTCAGTTATCTTAGAAATCATCTAATCTACTCCATTAGCAACCAGAGATAGTAAATGAACTGCCTAGACTCACAGTTGGTGGCAGACCTCCCTGTAGAGGGGCTTTTCAGTTGTAAAGTGCTGCCTCCCACCCAGGTGTGTCAGAGACCAAGGCACAGAATAAGAAAAGGACATAGCAGGAGTTTCACCCAGCCCAGGTCTCAGCTCAGAGGGGGCAAACGTTACAGATGCGATCAGTCTGCCACCAGCACATCACAGTGGTTTTGAGGGGGGCAGGACTTTGGATGGCCAGGTCTTAGTGGGTGGTCTTAGTTTAAGTCTTTCTGCATATTAGAGAGTCCAGTGTTTTCCACCATTAGGGCACAATGAACCCTATTCTGCTGGAAGAGCTGTAGTATAACAGAAACGAGGTCTTTCTGAGAAATCACATGTAAACATTAATTGATTCAAGCAAAAGAGGATGAACAGATACTGTGTGACTCTGAACCACTACCCAAGTGACTCTGGGCCTCCATTATCAAATAAAATGGCCAGATAAGAACTAAGTGACTTCCATGACTGTTCACACTTCTAAAACCCCATGAGATTCCACAATAAGTAAATAGAAATAACAGGAGAAACTTATCAGACAATAAACACAAAGTGGGAAATATGACTAACTGCAATTTTTAAATCTCAAAGGTAGGTGTGTGTGTGTGTGTACAAAATGTTCCAAAATTTCTTGTGCAGTTTAACTTTCACTTTAGAAGCAAAAATACTAGAAATGTATAAAAATATCATTTGAAGCTTTCAATATTTCAATTTTTTATACTTATATAGCTTTCTGAACTTTGTGCAATTTTAAAGTATTTTTAAGTCCCTCTAGCTCAAGATAGTAAAGATTAATCAAAACAAAAAATTATAAAAATTTTATTCAAAAAAGCTAAAGTATAGAAGAAATTTAACTTCTATATCTGAGGTGATGGAAGGCAAGAATATATTATATAAAAGAATGTTGTTGCAGACAGAGGAGATCCTGTCTCCTGGGGGAAATAATAATCCCTGTGAAATAACAAAAACTACAGGGACAACTCCACATTTTCAAAAACTATGAAACTGAGGGATCACAAGCAGGGAAAATCTGGGTTCCAGGGAGAAAGAACAGAAAGTTGACTAAGCTTTATTAGCTTTATTGTGATGGGTTGAGCAGGTGGAGTTGGAAGGAGGGATCAAGAAGGCGTAGAAGAATGTAGGGACCTGCTGGGCTGGTGTTGGGTTGTTGGAGGAGAGGCTGTGGTTCAGCCTCTTCCTCTTTTTGCCCATCCCCCACCAGGAGCCCTTTGTGATGAGGTCACAGCTCTGTGATGCAGGCCTCAGCTCTAGAACCAAAGGCAACTCCCAGAGCTCAGTTGCCTGAGAGCAGCAGTGCGATTCAGAAGATGGCTGAGTCCCAGCTCCACTTCCTGGAAGGTGGACATCAACCTTGCCTTCCTGGGTGGGCTGGGCACTTCCTCCTGTCACCCCCCTATATCCAGAAGGACCCATCCTTACCTCCACCAAGGAAAAAGAGGAGCATGAGGAAGGTAAGCAACCCTCTGCCTAGACCCAACAGATAGTGATTCTCTTTTTTATTCCTATTACTATTTCCATTCTTCCAAGTCAACTAGAGAGATGCCTGAGATGGGAAATCTCAGGAAAGATTAGAACAGCATCCTTCTAGGGACAGATGTGGCAGGCCAGGGGTGAAAGTGGGCACTAGGATTTCTGTCCAAAGCTCTCAAACCAGCTGTGTTGCTCAGCTGGAGGGGCTAAGGCAAGGTCAGACACCGAGACTCAACTCTGTGGCCTAGAATGGGATTGCTGAGAGCTGAGATCTTCATGGGAGGACAGGCCCTGAGCTCATCAGTCCCTTCCTGTGGCAGATGCCTTGGGCCAAGTCTTGTCTCTGTGTTGGGTCTTCCTGGGCCCCTAACAGCTCCCATCAGAGGCTGGAGGTGACTCTGGCCTTGAAGGCAGAATCCTACCTGACAGCTCAGATGCAGGCCTAGCCTATGGGTTTCCAGATGAACTGAGGACGTCTGCAGTGGATCTCATGTAGAAAATCCCTCTTCATGTTTTTCACAGAAGGAAAAGAGGAATTATTTTTATCCATGTTAAAAATGAGTAAAGGACAAGAAAAGAGCACAGGGCTCCATCAGCTAACTGTATAAAGTCATGTTGTTCATGAACACTGTGTGTCTGCAGCTTGTCTAGTAGGAAGAGTGAGACTTACTAAATAATTTCCCAAAGGATTCCCTTTTTGACTTTTCCACTTCATATAATCGTTTTCCATCTTTGACTGTCGGGTCTGCCGCCGGCCAACCTGAACAGCCCTAGCCTCGTTCCCTTTGGTGGGTGAGCGAATGGCCCGGATTCCTCTTTCCCTCCGGTCCCTGTTAGGAGGAGACGGGGGAAGAGAGCTGTGAAGAGAGGTGAGCACAGCCACTGGCCCCAACCAGCCCGTTAAAGGACACTCAGATGCGGCGGGGGTTCTGTTGAGCAGTTCGGTTTATTATCACACAAGCACTTGCTTTTAAAGGCAAATGGGGACAGGAGGTTTTTTACATCCTCCAATCAGCTTAAAGGTTCCATGAGCATGCACCCTGTCTCAAAGCCTAGCTATTGCAATCACACAGTGTTCACGAGTGCGGAAGTGTGTATTTGGCCAATAAGGGCTAAGGCAAGGATCCCACAGACACTCCCACCCTACTTCCTCCCGGCGCCGTCTTAGGCTGCCACGTTAATACGCCCTTGTGGGCCCATAATGGCACCTCTTTTAATGTCACTTAAGGTGGTGTTAGTTTTTAAGGCCCGACATTTGACTAAAGCATCAGCCCACTAGAAGAGGAAAACTTAATAACATACACCAATTCATTAATGTTTGTGTACAATTAAAATAGATTTCAACTTGCATAGTTCTCTGTAGTGTTTTATGAACATTTTTCTCCTTACAACCTCAACAACAGCTAAGCAGTACATCTGAGCTTCAACAATTTTGACTCTTTCTAACAGCTCTATTATAAGGCGGAGCAAAGCTTGCAATTTCTCTCCATCTTGATCAGCCTGAAGGATTACAAAGCAACACCACCTATAGAATGAAATCCATTATTTTAAACATTCACAAAAGTTTATTGAAAGTAATTTCTTATTAATTAAGCTAAGGAAATCAAGACATACAAACAATAAAAATAGTCTAATCCCAAAATATCAATTTTTTCGATATGGTAAGGAGAAATTATCCCATCACTTGGGAGAAATAAACATGAACACCAACTTTAAACATCCTAAATTAGATATAATAGAATCACTTATTTCAGTCTGACATGTAGATTATTTGCTAGCTCTTGTTTGGCAGTGGTACACTTCTGTTTAATATCCAACAATTTTCTTTGATTTTGCAACATAATCATCAACTGATTTGCATGACTCAGGCATAAATCAGGTAATACAGACTCATCCTTCAAGTTTTCAGCTCTCATCTGATTAGCTAAAAATCCCTTTGAGAAAAAATATTTTAAAGGACATTGTTTCATGAAAGACATGAAAAGTCAGTTAAGAGGAAAATCTTTATGTTAAATACAAACTGTTCTACTTTCAAACAAGATTTTAAAATCCCTTATTTTTCTAAATGTAATAGATGCATTCATGGCACAAGACAGAATTTTAAAGAAACCTATGTTCGTCTAACTTTGTTTCAGTTTTCAAAGTAGGAAAAAACAATGGCTGGAAAGATAAGGTAACGACTTATCCAAGGACATACCTAATAGCTGAACTAGAATAGAAGCAGAACTGATGCTTCTAGTCTCTTACTACACTGCACGTCAGTCAGAGAATAAATAAAACATGGTCACTGAAAAACAGTGACTGGTTCATCCCAGCCAACATTATGTAGTAGTATATTATACATTTCTTCAAATAAAAAAATAATAATCAATTGCCCTTGAAATATTTATTGATAAGTCACTGCCCTCTCGTTATTTCTGTACCATACTTTGTTCCATTAATCTGTACTCAACACAATGACTGAATTGTGTAATTTTACAGTGTGCTTTATTATTTGGTAGGAAAATTTTTTTCTAAATTTCTTTCATTTTGTCAGTAGGGATTGTATTTAGACTGCACAATAATTTAGACAGATCTGCCATATTTAAAATGTAGTCTTCTTTCATATCTCTGAAGTACTTTTAGTTCTTAAATAAAGTCCAAAGACAACCTAATTAGGTTACTACTATGTATTTTATTGCTAATATGAGTTTCTATTCCTACTCTATACACTAAATACTTAATATGTTATACAAGTTAGATTTTGCACATCCTTCTCATAAATACTCATAAATACTGCCAAAAGAAATCTATTTTTCAAAATTCAATTCCATATTTTTAAAATCATCCTTAGTGTAATTTAAATAAATAAATAAATACATAAGTACATAGCTAAAACCCTGGTAAATCATCTAGCAGTACTTTAGCACTACCATTTCTATATGTAAATAACGTCTGACAGCTACACGATAGCACTACAGTACTCACGACACCCCGCCAGATGCATTCTGCCAACTTTGGTTTAGAAAGATGATTCCCTGTGATTTCTTTATTTTGCTGATAATCCTTAAGGATAAAGATGACTGTAGAATGAATATTCTGGGCTATATAGTGCTACATGGCTTCACAGGATTGGTGAGGGAGGATTATCTGCCAAGACCAGGTAGAGGGTCTACAAAAGTTCTCATAAATGTTGCGGTTTTAGAAAATTAATCCTTTAAAGAAATTTAGAATGGCTCTTATCTTATGAGATATTCAGGCAATAAACACCTTTCCGTGACTTCTATTTTCTTTCTCTTTAACGGGGAATGGTGGGCTGGCCGGTTAGCTCAGTCAGAGTGCAGCCTTGTAACGTCGAGGTCAAGGGTTCAGTTCCCTTTACCAGCCAACCACCAAAACACAAAACAAAATTATGGGGCTGGCTAGTCTACTTTCACCAACAACATTCAGAAAAAAGTGCTGATAAGCAAAGAAAACATCTGCAATGGGGAAATACTAATAGCAACAATATAAGTAACAGATGAGATATCTGTGAATAGAATGTGAAAAACTCCACACCAGCAGATTGAAGAGAATTTTAACATTTCTCAAATTCAAAGAAACATGAACCCAAATCCTCATTCTATAAGTATTGATGTGTACTTACCATGTGTCAGGCATTTGTCTACCAAGTAACAGAAGATATACTAGAGACCTGCCTTCTTGGAGTTTATATGCAAAGAGAAGAAATTGTATTAAAAGCATGTAATAGTTTAATTACAATTGTGATACAAGATAAGTACAGCATGCTGAGATAAAATAAACCTGATCTAATTGAGACCTCAAGATCAGAAAAGCTTGTCTGAGGAAGTTCATGTTTCAGTGAAAACCTTCACTCTGTACATCCTTCGGCAGCCAAACACATGATGATGTTGGACTAAAAAGTCATTCCACTGACCATATACCACCTAGCTTCAACAGGTTCCCTTTTCTCTCAGGACCTCATTGAAAATAACCTTATTAAATCTAATTCCTCTCACATTAAAATTCACTCAGGCATGTGCATTTGAAACCTGTCTACCGTAGGGCCTGGATTTCTATTTGTCTTACAGTTTAGCTCCCAATATGTAACTAGGCAATCTAGATGACTTCTAAACAGACTCAGTACGAGTACTGGAGAATAGCAAAAAACATTCACTGAAGAACTTAAATAATTAAGTAAATATTTAATTGCCTTTGAATGTCTAAAAGAACTGTACTACTCAGGTATCAAAATCAAGAAAGCCCTATATTAGTCAGCCATCTCCTCCCTGCCACCCCCCCAAAACCAGATAAAAGATATTTTTAAGAAGTAAGAGAAGGTTACTGCCAGTTTTGATAAGGTGTTCCAAAAGTTAAATTCCATGAACTACTGTAGATTAAAACATTACCCAAACACTGCAAACATTAGGGGGAAAAGAAGCTATTCAAACAGGGTACTCTATGGTCACAAGACAATAAAATTAACCCTGTATTTTTCATGGGAACATAAGGAATGTTCACTGAATTTTATTTCAGTGTGAGTTCAGGAAGGTCAAAGGGTAAGACTTAGCAAAAAAAAAAAAAAAAAAAAACCGAGACACTTAAATACTAAAAAAATGGATTCTTCCATTGTTTTCAGAAAGAAAATACTATCACCCTACTTATCATACCAACCATATTCCCAGAAAAGCATGACTTATCTTTCTATGACAAAACTCCATTTGCTAAATCCAGTGTGGCTTTGAGAATAACATCAGCAACAGATTTCTTTTATATTACCATCAAATATAAAACAATTCAGGTATGGTTATCTGTCTGATTAACCATAGAAGATTTCAAGTGATATAAAATAGAAGAAATATTAGCAGTATTTTTTTTGAAAATCAATAGAGATAGGAATAAATTTAATAAAATCAAAAATTTAAATTTCTGCATTAAAATCTGTTTAAATTATCAGAGACAAAGAATAACATTTGTATTATTTATAATAGACAAAAGATTATCCAGACTATTTTGATACATTCTTACAAAAACACTGAGATAAAGAAAATTTGGCAAATGACAATTCAGAGAAAATATGTGACAAATGGGCCGGCCCGGTGGCGCACTGGATAAGTGCGCCACTTGGGAAGCACGGCGGCGCTCCCGCCTGAGGGTTCGGATCCCACAT